AAAATCAGCTGAAGTGAGATGTACTCTGGATTAAGGAGAAAAAGTCTGAGAAAGAAAATATTGTTTGGCCGCAACACAAAGAATAACTGATTGGAACATTTTTTTATTTATTTCTGTTATCAAATATTTCATGTACATCATGGCAACAAGGCATAGAAGGGGGCACAAAGGTTGTTTGACATTTTCAAACTGGTGAATGCTTTAGGAATACCTTAAGCTATAACTTTATTATCTCAGACAAAAAAAAATGTCCACAACATTAAAAAATAATAATAAAACACGTCAAGAAAATGAAAACAAAAAATATATGTAATATATAATTATAAAATATTCACACTGGACAGTGTTTAAGTCTCCCGACTTAAGTTCAAAGCCTTGAGTTTTAATTAGGAATCCTGCAAGTGTATTTGTGTGTGTCTTTGGTGAAACACTTGACTGTAAACTCATTACTACTCACAGGCTAATCTTCTTAGCTATGTTTAAGTATGAAGTGCCCTTATTAACTCTTTGTTTGATCGGTCTCGCACAATAATTTTCCTGACTGCACAAATGTGGACCACCCAGCACCAGATTTTTTGTTTTTGATTTTCTGTCACTTTTGTTGATATTTTTGTGTCTTGTCACAGGGCAATTAAGTCACTATTGGCAAAGGTATTTTGTTTTGTCAGTTGTTATAAATCGTATATGATGAAAAATATATTTAAGAAAAAACTCTGACCTATACACACATTATGTCTTATTTTACATATCCATGCTGTTTATGACAAAATGGTATGCATATGCTGGCCCTTCATTCAAAAATTATTTTTTAAATAAAATGGTAAACATACAAGGAAACGTTCAACAACATTAAATTTATGCCATAAGGATAATCAGCCTTACTGTTGAGAATTTCTGCTTTGAAACTGCAGAACAATGCAAAAATAAGATGAAAAAATATATGCAGAGGATTCACAAAATAGCATTTTTCTATAAATATGAAAATTATACTGAAATGTATGAAATATGTGTCTGTGATGGACTTGCAACCTGTCCAGGGTGTAACCCGTCCCTCGCACACTGACTGCTGGATATGGGCACCAGTGACCCCCGTGATCCTAAAAGGAAGAAGTGGTTATAGAGGGTGGAAGGAAGGAAGGATGGATGGATGGATGGATGGATGGATGGATGGATGGATGGATGGATGGATGGATGGATGAATGAAATACTGTATTAGTTTGAAAGGGAAAGAACTTTGTTTTATTAGGGCTTCCCAACAAATGAATAAGAAAGCAGAGGAATGCTTAATTCAACCATTTTAAGACTTATAAAACTGAAAATTGGTAGTAGCCAAGAACAAGCTTAGCTGACTGAGCTAATTTGAAGCCTTATTAACTCATCCATTTTAAGACATTTTGGGCTGAAATTTGGTGTGGTGGTGGCTGAGAAAGATCCCCATCACATACTGAAGCTAAATCAAAAATCCAAGATGGTTGCCAAATAAAATGAAGAATTTACTTCATATTGAGGTGAAATTTGACATGGTGGTCGAACAATGACCTTCAACAAAACAGTAAAGTTGAATCTTAAATTTAAAATAGATGCCACATAGCCTTATAGTTTCTCCTGGAACTATGTAGCCTGGGCCCCTTGCCTTCCTACGCAGTTCCGCTCAATTCTAGTTTCCCTTCAGTGCTCCGTCTGGGATTTCTCCCATAGACAAGGATTTCGCTGGCAGATTTTTAGCCGGGCCAATCAGAGAACAGAACGTCGATTTTCTGCGCAGTGTCTGCTTGTAGTGTATTTTACCTGGGCCAGTGTTACGGCCCCGGGGTCTAGGATACCCAAGACACACAACATATAAAGTCCGGACACGAAGGTGTTTGTAAAAAGAAAAGTTTTATTGTTTGGACAAAACAAAGGAAGC